AATGTAGTTTCTAAATATGTAAATTTTATTTTCTAGAACTAATTTGAGTGTTGACAGGGATCAATTTGCTTTATCGTCAGTCAAACATCGTAAACCGTAATGTATCTTACAAATTGGGACGGAGGGAGTACATGTTTTCCTAATTTTAATACTTCTTCCAATAAACTCTCTCCTCGTTCTATTGAGTGTATGTTCTTAGGATATGTGTGTAAGTACAAGGGCCATCAGTCTCATGATCCTCAATCTGGTATAATTTATATTAGTAGGAATCCAGTTTATAGAACATATTTTTCCATATCCTCATTTAGTCAGTACCAATGTCTCCCCGTCTACTTTGTCTCTCAATGTTATGCCCCTCGTCCTTACTGTCACTCAACCAAACCCCATTGTCCGCCCCTTGGAACCTCTTTCTGCCATCACTTCACTTGTGCTTGAACAATCGAGCTCATCCACCTCATCCTCATCTCTCTTATCAACGATTCCATTCCCACTCTACCCGTTATCGTCCCGGAAGACCTTTCAGCGATATCTCTCTCTTCACCTTAGTCAGCCGATAACACCTCACCCCCTATCTAGACTGCACTAGCCAACAGCTCTTCACCCCCACCCTGGTTGCATCAACCAAAAATTCCACAGTCCGCTCCGGTGGGTAGTGTCCATCCCATGCAGACACGTTTAAAATATTACATTTTAAGCCTTTTTTTTAAATTTAAATATAGTTCTTTAATGCACTCATATCTAATCATACTTGGGATTTGGTACCTTTGATGCTGGTAAGACAGTGGTTGGGTCCAAATGGATCTATAAGATTAAATATCTTTGTGACGGCTTTTTGGATCTCTATAAAGCTCGCTTAGTTTTAGCAGACATGTGAATATTTTTTTGAAACTTTAATATTAGTCCTTTTGTCAAACATATTAATGTCTGTCTTGTTCTTACTATAGCTATTTCATTTGCTTGGTCTATTCGTTAGTTTGATTTCAAGAATGTTTATTTTCATGGTCACATTAGAGAGTAAGTTTATATGTGTCAACCACACGAGTTTTATTCATCCTCAGTTTCCTCATCATTTGTGTCGTCTCAGCGAGTCCATAATTTATGATCTGAAGCACGCTCCGTGTGCATGATTTTTATAGGTTTAGTAGTTTCCTTCCGAGTCATGGTTTTACCTGTAGTAGCTCTGATAATTCATTATTTATTTTTCGTTGTCAGTCTCGTGTTATTTATCTTTTGTTATATGTCAATCATTTTGTCTCCCTGTTAGCTTAGGATTTTGTTATGAAGGATTTGGACGATCTACATGTGTTTCTTGGCATTTATACGTCTCGTACACTCATTGATCTTTTTATGTCCCAACATAAATATATTTCGGATCACTTGCATCGTTTCCACCTTCACACATTAAAACCGATTTGGTCCCCTCTTTCTATACAAAACTAATAAGCATGAATGAAAGTAAGGCTATTTTGAGCCGGGCGGGGTGGGTTGCGAGCGGCATGCCAGCTAATTAACCCAAGTGCTTAATCTAGTGAAGGTCAAAACGTAGAAGAGGCACATGAAATAAGGAACTATGTGAGGTTATACTAACATTATGATGTCAAAAATTTATTCCCAGATGTAAACAGAAGAAACTGAGTACACACCTTTAAACAACATACTACACCTTCATACAATGATTGTATTACAACAACAATTCTTTATACCCAGAATAGACTTACCATCATTCATGCTTAGGATGTTTTTACTTGGACTGTAATTTGCTGGCCTGGCCTGGTCTGGTCTGAACTGGTCTGGTCTGGTCTGGTCTGGTCTGGTCTGGGGCAAATTACAGTCCAAGTAAAAACATCCTTATTAGTTCTAAACCTTACTTCATTATCTTTGTCATACAAAGCCTGTCACAGATGTCATTTTATATTTATCACGGAAAACAAAGAGGTAATTTGTAGGGATGAATTTGGATCAATTATCTATTAAAAAAGCTATTGAAGTTATAGAATAAGGAGAATAACATTCCAAAAAGATGCTAAGATAATCATCTTAAGGAATTTAAGCCAAAAAGAGAAGTAATTTGAGTTGTGCTATACTTTTTACATTGTCAATAAATTTATTTCTAATGATCAAATAAATTATATATTAGTGAATGCTGTAAAAAATTGGTGATGAGCCTAATAAGCTCAAAAGTGGTGTATATATTATGTATATATTCCATTGTACTTTTTTAGACCTTGTACAAAAATAATGTAACTCTCAATTAAACACTTTTTTGGTTAATTGCATTGTATTATTTAATTGTTAATCACTTCAATCCGCCTTAATACTTATGTTGTTAGGCTGGTCCTTGCCCTTTTAATGTCAAACAAAAATGTATGACATTTTGGCATGATAAAGTATTTGGAGTTAAACCAAAGTTATGAATAAGAAAAGGTTGTCATATCAAACACTCAACATAAACAACAACATGCAAAACTAGGTGTTCAAGTCTGGAGCGTTGCTAAGAGCAAATTTCTGAAATGACATAGGTGTACTTAAAAGTTTAAGCAGTGGTGCAAAGGTAAAAGCTTACTACTAGAAGAAGAGATACATGGATTTTGAGACAATTACCAAAAGAGTAGTATAACATAGGAGTTGTGCAAAAATAGAAATAGAGTTTATAAATTCCCAAAATAGGAGTATTTTTTTCTAAATGGACAAGGATGCCCCTGCCATTGTTGTTGCCTGATGCCTGCTGCTGCCTGCTGCTACAATACCGCTGCCCATTGGAGTTCGCCGGACTGCCGCCGCCGCTTCTGGAGCTCTGGCGTGGTAAAAAATTCCAGATCCCCCATTCTTCCTGCCACCGTCACAGTTGCCAGACCTCCGTCGCCGTCTGCCACCGCCATCACCGGACTGCCCCCACTACCAATGCCCTACCTCACCACTGACGGACTGCCCTGTTTGCCCAAGGGAACTAGGGGGGCAATAATTAATTAGAATATGGGTTTCTGCCGGTCACCGGAGCTCCGCCGTTGTCTGCCACCACCGGAATGCCCCCCTACCAACGCCCTGCCCCGCCACCGGCGGACTGTCATGGTTGCCCAAGAGAACCAAGGGCAATAATTAATTAGAATAGGAGTATTATGGGTAAAAGAAATAATGTTTACTCCTATTTGGGGAAGATTATGAGTTAACTCCTATTTAGGGAAATGTGTTATGTTTTACTCCTATTGGTAGCAATTACTATAGATTTTTGGGCTATGGAAACAAAGTTATTGAATGGTCTATTCATTCAAACTACTCATACTAATTTGGCTACATGTAGTGACTTTATATTCATTTCTTTATGTCTAGATTTGATTTTGGCTTAGGTAAAAAGTTCATTAATCTTTCCACAATGTAATTATTTTTTTGTTTCCTAGCTGGGTGCATTTTCAATTCTTAAGTGATGTGCTTATTTCAGTGTTAATAATTTGTTTTTGTAGATTGAGAAAGCTTTACAAGAAACACAAGATTGCAGATGTCAATATTTTAGAAGGCAGATTCAAGCTCAATTACTTGAAGTTAGGGGTGGAGCCGGGCCAGTTCGGGCCCGGGCCGGCAGTTCAGGAATGGGGGTCCCGGGACCGGGCCGGGCCTCGGGTAATTGCTATTTTTTCCCTTTTCCTAGTTAACCCCCAACCCCCCCCCCCACCCCAAACCACCCCAAATGGCCCAAAATACCCAGCCTAACCCAAAAAGTTAAAAAATTTGAAAATAAAAAATAAAATAGGCCCGGTACCCAGCCCGAACCGGCCGGGCCGGTTCGCCAAAACCACGACCGAGCCCGGACCCGCCCTTCCCCACGGGCCTAGGCCCGACCCGGACCCGGCCCTGAGAACTGGGCCGGTCCTGGTCCCGCACAGTAGCGGGCCGGGCCGGTCCACGGGCCGGGTGGCCGGTGGCCCGACCCGAATCCACCCCTACTTGAAGTGTGAGAAAAAGTTTCACATCACTGATGTTAAGCCTCTAGAAGCAAGTTAAAAAACTTAGAGCTTGACATTGAAAATGCAAAAGCTTGACCCATAAAATGTTTTTCGTACATAATGTCTATCCTTCCATTCAAAGTAAGATTTTTCCCTATATTGGGGTAGCATTCAGAGTTTACAAATTAAAAGAGCCATCATGCCAACTCACATGACAACCTCGATGTGTATCATAAAACTATGACTAAAATATTAGTGAGTTATATACAATCATTGGTCAAGAAATGCAACACACAAGGCTAAAATTATGTGGCGTCATTTCTATCATTACAGACAATTCATGAGCAGTGCCGATCCTACCTAATCTTGAGCCTGAGTCGAATTTCATAAAAGGCCCCCATAAAGTATAATATTTTGTGTTGGTATTGACCAGTACTATAATCGGCCACATAGAGACTGACCTTTTTATTTTTGGTGTTCAATTGCTATTCGATCCACGCCTCCTGCCCTAGTTCGAGTGCTGCAACAAGTGAACAAGGCAAAGCCGGAAAGGCAAATCAAGAAATTGCTCTTCTAATTCTTCTTCTCATGTTCGACAGTCGGCCGTCACACAACAATTGAGCACCGGCCGGCGCACCGCCTTAGTTCGGCCATTCCTCTTCTATCTTCGTTGGTACTCCGTACTTGGTCAATAGGTGGCGAGTCGCCTATTTCGGTTTTCAAACGCTGAAACGCAGCGTTGCAGCAGGGGATAAAAGAAAGATATATATTTTATATTTAAAAACTACATATATATAATAAGGAAATATATAAAATATTGGGCCCGCAATTTTTTGACAATTTTGGGGCCTTGAGGCCCATGTCTCAGTGGCCTCAACGGTAAGCACGACCCTGTTCATGAGGCTAAAATTATGTGGCGTCATTTCTATCATTACAAACAATTCATGAGGCTAAAATTATGTGGTGTCATTACTATCATTTCAAACAATTCATGAAGCCCGATCAAAAGCGTCACATTAAGACAAGCGTCTTAGAGAACAACCTTTGATGAAAGGAAATTGCACTAGTAAAGCTGTGTATAGACTAAAGGCAACATAAAATGGGCACCATGCCAATCGCGCAACACACGTTACAAAAACTAGTACCATGTATCATGACGTAACCATCAAACTTTGGGAGACCTGAGGTAGATAACTTAAAATACTTAAAAAAGTTACAATGGGAAGCTAAAGAAAGGAACATTCTAATCTCAATCAAATACAGAACGCAAAATAAAGATATTTACTCCAATGCAATGTGATTTTCAAGTACGATAAATTTAGCTGCTTGATGATGACAAAAATCTCATCCTACGCTTCAAAACACTTTGATGTGACACCCCTTCCCCTTTTTCATCCAATGTTGCCTCCGTAACTCCATGTGAACTCGAACTAGAGCTTGATGGACTTGCTTCATACTCTTCATCTTCACAAATCTCATCATCATCATCATTGCAAATCCAGGTTTCAGCAAGTTCAGACTCACTATCTTTAGACGAAGCACCACTGCCAGTGTGAAAGAGAGTGATGCTCTCCTTGTTCCCGTCTTGAAAAGAGTAACTCCGAGTTGTTCGATCAGATAAAGGAAGCAGTGATTTTGAACCTTCCATATTAGAGAAATATGTTATTTCATTTTTTTAATGTATTGTAGTTTTGAATATTGAAGAGGAACCTTGGCGCCCTGGTTATAGTGTTGCTCTGAAGTCACTGATTCAAGTCTTAGAAGAGGCCTCTTGTCAAATGACAAGGGAATGTTTGCCTCTGCCCACCCTTCTGGTGGGACCCTTCCTGGGACCCTCACCTTGTGGGGACCCCAATGTGCACCGACGGTCATTTTTATTATAGTATTTAATAGTACTACCACTTTTACTATACATGATTCATGTAGCTTGTTTTTTTATATTTTAGCTATTCCTTATTTATCTCTCTCCTATTCATTCCGTGAGACTTTGACTCAATATTATGTGCCACCCCACCCAAAAAATAGAGCTGTGTCAATGTATAGATTTTTTATTTTAGTAAGGTACAACAAAGGGGATTTTTATATCATAAATTTTAGCTATATTTTAAACTTTATGTGATTGGTTCAACTAAATTTGGCTTACTTAACTAGTTAGTTGTTTGCACACTTTTTTGGACACAAAAAGCGTAATAATAAATATAAAGTGAAATAGCTTTTTTGTTCAAATATGCAACCATTGAGAAGCATGACCATGTTTTCAAATACGACGTACTTTAAATACGATTCTCTTTCTGCGAGTGATGGGGAATTATTACTCTTCCCATCAGTCCAATATACTAGTATGATATTAAGAGCCAAATTATAATCAGTTAATCTTTTTCACCTCTCATGATTGTGGTTTCATCTCTTCCAAAGCTATATGTTGTTGAGAGCTTCCTCTCTATGCCTTCCCTTTCCTTCATTAAATCCCCTAGCTGTTCTATCATTTCATTCCTTACCGCTTCCTTTGCAGCTTTCTGCTCAAGCTCAGATATTGTCCTGTCATATGCTTTCTTCTGGAGTCGAAGAGAGCGCTAACGAATAAGAAAAAATGAAACGAGTTACAAGATAATTCACTTTGAAGTTGAGGGGTAAATTCACTGTGAATTTGATCAAAGCATTACTCTCTTTTCTAGGAATCCTCCAAGTTGTCGACTTTGGAGCTTCTTCTTCTTCCAGAAGATGCAACAGAATCTTACTAGTGCAGCCAAAACTAGTAACAAAGCCGATTCAAACCACAGAAATAAGACAATTGCCCTCTCATTACCTGAATCGTACAAGAGGAATGCATTAAGGGATAAACCACACATCCACTAAATTAATACATATATGATTCAGATTCAGACATTTAACAGATTTTTATCTAAAAGGTGTATAGAATCATACGGAGTATTTCATTGCCCTCTAGAGTCAGATTTTTATATCTAGAGTAAATTAGATCCAATTTAGGGGGTGTTTGGATCTGATTCTTAAAACTGATTCTGCTCCTTCAGGGAACAGAAGCAGAAGTTGGAGTGTTTGGGTGAAAGTGCAGAAGTGATTCTGATGCTCTAATTTACTCCTAGAATCAATTTTTTTAGAAGCTGTGGGGGACCAGCTTCTCAAAACTGATTCTGATTCTGCTTCTGCTTTTAAAAAAAGAAGCAGAAGCAGAATCAGTTCCAAACACCCCCTTAATATGGCATCAGAGTCACATTGAGTACCCAATTTGATTGTTTTATTGGATTTGTTTATTTGTTTGTTTGACATTCATGGTTATGCTTATCTCCTTTGTGGCTTTTTAGCCTATTTATCCGCCTCAAGTAGTCCATGTGCATTTAAGTGCACCACATTAGATGTTTACCAAATATATATCTAATACTCATATATAAATTTGTGGTAAGCCTCATCATCCCGTTAATTAATATCCTTTTGCAGTTAGTTAAACCCAATTTAATAAATAAATAGAAAACACCATATAAAACACTGAACTACTCAAATATTTATATGGTCATAACTTTAGATGAGGAATTCAATTAAAAGTGAAATAAGCACATTTTGCAAATGTCAACAAGGCATATGAAGTTACTTACTCGTGTAAATGTCAGTGGTCATAGGTCTGATCTGTGAGCAACTGTATGCAAATCTCTGACCTGAAAAGAAAACAAGAATGGATCAACAGGGTGGCTGATACAGACTAATAAATGCAAAAGGGTGTGGTAGGGTGATTACGCGTACTAATGCATTGGAATGGGTTATTAGTCTCTGCAAGAAATCAGATTTTCTATTAGTCACTGCTTCATATATAATGGGCATGAAAGACCGAGAATCTGAGTTCAATTACTCACTTGAAGCAGCAAAAAAAGCTAGAATGACCTTTTCATCACAAATGAAATGCTTGAGATCGCTATCAACCAGCTTAGATGAGAACAGACCTATGACATCACCAAGAACATGAACATTTAATGCCTGAGAGACCATACAAAATAATGTATCCTACTACACCATGGGATCCCCTCCGCCTAAGTAGGATACTTAGCTCAATCCCACTAACACTCAAAGCAAGGCAGGATATTTATGTCTATCCTTTTCCCCCACTTGAGCTACGACTCTTGGGCAACTGCAGTAGGAAAGCAGATATGGGTTATTACCAGGGTATTTCTCAGACAACAGCAAATTTCCAGTGGCTGGAACCAGCATGATAAAGGTAACTGATCTCGGTTTCATAGCTGAAATGTAAGTGTAACTCCCAATTGTCTGGCTAACCTTTCCATCCATCTGTGTCTGTGAAACATAGATTGCATAACCTGAGCAGTCCAGGATAGGACTAGCTTGGATGACAGAGTCTTGGTCTCCCACTGTAGAGAACTTCTTGAGCACACCCGTCAGTGAAAATGAATACACGAAACCATCCAAAGAACCGACAGAAACCCAACCTAAGTACATCAGTAAACTATACTTTTGAAGTGTGCTAATTTCATATTCCCAATAAGATTATTTTTCCAGCTTGTAGTCCTCTCACTATTTTAGGATTGACACATTTGGCACTTGTACAATGAAGTGGGTGAATTTCATATTCCCGCATGAGACACTTTGGGTATTTGCCTAAATATTTCCACATTTAGTCCTCTGACTAAATGTGGAAGTCACACTTTTAGTTTTCCAGCTATTCTGACAAAGACACTTTTGAACTATAAGTGTCACTGTAACAATGGTTAGAAAATACTAAAACAGAAAAAGTCAAAGACAAGCACAAATGTGTCATTGACACAATAGGCAAAGGACCAAAACTGGAAAAACTTTTCTAATTAATACTTCTTTATAAGTTTATATGAATAACTTTCTTTTACCATTAGAATCAATGATGGGGGTGTAATCTGCATTACTTAATGGTCCAATACTTCCTTGCCACAAAATGTCCCCCCTGGAAGCGTCTAGGGCTAGGATTAGAGCTTTATCTGGGACAGTAACATACACCAAACCATTATTCCCAGCAGTAATTGCAGATATGTTTCCAAATGTGCTCAAATCCGTTATCCATAGGAAATGAGGACTGCTAGTAGAAACAGCATAAAGCTCTCCTCCATTATTCAAGACCTACAAATAGAGAAAGTCCCTCCAATATGAAGTTGAATAGGATAATGATCTAAAAAACCTGGAAGGACAGTATATTGAAACAGCATAAAGCTCTCCTCCATTATTCAGGACCTACAAATAGAGAAAGTCACTCCAGTATGAAGTTGTATAGGATAATGATCTAAACAAAGCTAGAAGGGCGGTATATTGGGTAGCATGGGCGGGATCAACGGAACATAGGTAGTACACGAAGACAGAAATTATGGGTAAAGGGCCCAACTTAAGATGCTATGATACCCCGGTTATTTTTTGTAAAAATATTTACAAATAAAAAAGGCTCATGCGACTTATTTGAAAACAGACTACAAAAGTTTATTGAATTAGTTCAAACTTATCAAATAATTACAAATAATTGAGTTTGCCTATAATCAATACTTCAACTCTTCAGTTGTTGGACAGATAAATATTCATAAATGAACTTCCAATTGAATAAAAATGGTGTACTTTTTGTAAAAAAAATGGTGTACCTTTTGTAAAAAAAAATGGTGTACCCACATACCTGTGTATGTGCAATTAAAAAAGAAACATAATACAACAGACAAACAACATCCATGTCTTGTCCCCGAAGGAGCATGGGGTCTGCTAACATGAATAGATGGAATGATATCGAAGCCAAGGACACAATATATCATCTAAAATGAAACTACAATTTTGAGGAAATATCAATCAATCTAAACTTTATAAAAGAATAAGTAAATTTAATGGTAACAATACATCAAACTCCTTCCCTCATTAATGCTCGTACATTGAGATTTATTTAACAAAGGATGAAAAGAATGAATCATACATTCTTTCTTAAAAGAAAACAGAAAGATCAATAAGGGATTTTGCAAAAAAATTGAAGTTTAAAAGGGGATAAGATTATAAGAGAGTAAATGTATCTTCTATTCATATAATGACTCTTATTTTCTTACAATTTTTACTTTTTTTTATTGAAAATTAGTAAATTACTAAAGTAACTTGGGAGGTTTTCGGAATCTCATGGAGGCGAATGACCCCTTAACCATAGGCTCGTACTTCCGTAGCCTCGTCACTGTAGGAAGGATGAACTCAAGAAAAAATGTAGGTAACCATGGGGACCAATGGCTATGTGGAACTAGGCTTGTCTAAATGAGGATTTCTTCTACGAGTAATTTTTAATAAAAAGACTGACATAGGCACGAGCTTCACAATGATCAACCACAGGAGCAGAAGAGAAATAACAGTCTTCAAGGTTTTTGCTGCAGCCTTGGCGAAACCCATGTTGGTTCTTTACTGGGCCAGCACTCCATGCCAGTTTCCCATGCAGCTTATAAGCAAACAATCCTCTTCTTTTGATGGTGATCACGACCCGAGAACTGAATATGCTCACGGCAATGCCGACAATCTCTCCCCAGCTTTCTTCACCTGTTTGTTTCGCCCCAAAGAAAACTTGTACAGCAGACTGCGAACCCCCAATTCTTAAGGGGTTGATTTTCAGAACTCTATCTTCCGCAACCACATATATCTGCAACCACACATAACACAATGTCTTATACACCATATGGTTGACAATACTTTATCCTCTCTAAGTCTCTAACCACATATATCCGCATGTTAGGGACTTAGGTAGAATGGGATACCAAAAGTCCCACACCGAGTAGAATGGGATGCTTGGTGGGGTTCTTAAGTGCCTGGCTCTCCCACCTTAACAGCTAGCTTTTGGGGTGTGGCTCTCCAAGGTGCTTAAGTTCCTAACACCGCACAAGCTATTTAGAGGGATATTGCGGTTTACCATGATACCAAGTAAATAACAGGGGTATGGAAATTATGATTATACCTTCAGCTCATGATTTTACATATTAATTCATGCAAGGACGTAGATTTATTTTCATGTGGATGATGCATCCAAAGAGCTAAGCCTGAAAGTCATCTAGCATTTTCAATCATTTACTTTCTCAGTTTTAATTTAGCAATGACCAACTGTTTGTTCCTTTTGCATGTCATTTTATAAAATGTTCACATTTTAAAAATTGGTACACTCAATGTTGACATTTTAGGGAGACATTCATATGTTCCATTATCAAGAACACGTGTGACATGAGATAGATGGACACATAAAAATAAATAAATGATATATCTCTTTTTTTCTATGGTTTTGTATGTTTTTGGTAACTGTTTATTAATAATGTCAATCAAAATGTCTATATCTAGACGCTCTTCTTGACATTGAAGAAAAACTTACCAAAAGCACATGAAGTTGTCCATATGAGGAAGAGATATTTAACTTACTAATATTTACGAGTATGTTTCTATTTCTCTCATGTCACATATGCACTGTGCACATTGTGGCATTGGTGAGCACCAAAAGGAGATTTAAGTAAATAACCAAATATTAGACTTGGACTCAGGGTCAAGTTGGTAATGTTTCTTACATCTCCCTTTTCTTACATCTGCCCCTCCTAGAGCCCAGGTATCATATACACCTCCAAAATAAAGCGTCTTTAACACTAGAGCAAAAGAACCTATACCTTGTAATAAGATGAAAAGTTATAGATTGTGGTCATCATTTAATGCTCTACAATTATTCTTGAATATTTTCTTTTCCAAATTTTAACTTTATTATACTAATCATATTAAATATGTAGTACATAATTAGTATCACAGATAAAGTTCTTATTAATAAATCTATCACTCTAATGCATCATCTCAAAAGGTTGGATTTGATCAATAATGATACAGATAAATAGGAACAAATAGTAACAGATGGAGTATAAAAACGTATGAACACATCTAACAATTTTAATCTAGAAATGTAGATATTCACAAGAAATGGAAGAGATTGAAAACAGATTATGGAGCATACGGAAAAAACTAAGGTCTTGCCTTTCTCGAGCCACCATTAACAGGAGCAATCTTAAGACTGCAAGTGTGATTAAGAGCTACACTCCAAGCAATTGAACCGTTGCTTTCAAACGCAAAAAAGTTTCTTCCCGAGCAGACGTATACCCGTCCATCGTCTCCCACCAGGGGAAGCTTCAGCCTGTTTTCCGAGTTCCCGATTGCTTCTGCAGAACAATTGAAAACAAAAAGTGCTATTGCCAAGCTTATTTTTTCTCTTGCCCTTCAAATTGAGTGCTGGTTATATATACCTGAAAAGAACGATGGATTTGAATACAGAATTTGGGCAAAACACGGCAGCAAGAATGAGACCAACGTCTGAAGAATTCGAATCGGTAAAGGCATGGGTTTGAGACAGTGATGAAGCCCCGAGGAAGATGATTACTACTCCCCTGTAACTCCCGGAAACCACCCGAATCATGGTGGTTATTCTTTTCTTCCGTTTTTGTTTGGCAACTAAAAAATGGCAGTTACTCTTTGAAATTCCCCAGTTTCCCAGTTCCCAGTTCCCAGTTCCCAGTTCGTTTGCAGGCCCGTACACGTGGGTCATAGATAGAGGCATTGCTGGGCGGGGTGGATAGTTTTGACTTTTGAGTTACAGGTGGCCTAGCTCAACCTATAGCGAAGGATTAACCCGTAGGGAGGAGTGCCGGTTAGATCTGGGGTTCGAATGTAGTCGATAAAGGGAGGAGTGCGGGATAGATCTCGGGTTCGAATCCCGTCAAGTGCGATGAGAGGTTACTCAATAAAGGGTCTCTGCAAGTATCGGGGACGGAGTTCCACTCTCTATTTGTCAGATTGTGATTATAGTTCAATTTACATCCTCCGATCGTGCAGTCCGGTTAGTGTTAGGGGCCCTCAGTGATGGAGTGTCATCCTTTTTGAATGAGAAAATTATATACGAAGTATAAGTTGGCAAAATTCCAGATAAAAATGGTTTTAAAATTCCAAAATATTTATGTTACGCTTTTATTTCTTAAGTAATACTACATCTGTGTCATTTTATGTGTCTCACTTTGACTTGACACGATTATTAATAAGGTGGTTGAAAAAGTAAAAGTTATGGTTGAAGTTTGAGTATAATAAAGTGAAATGGTGTAGGCACTGTGTAGGCCACATATTTCTTTCCCAAAAAGGAAAGACGACACTTATTTTGGAACAACCCAAAACGGAAAGGTAAAATGGGACGGAGGGAGTGTTAAAAAAATACTTCATATGTTCCTTAAATTTTGTCGACTTTGACCGGTACGGGAATTAATAATGTAAAAATTGTGTGGTTGAAGTTTGTGCAAATGAGAGAGAATTAACTGGAACCACAAATATTTACTTAAAAGGTAAAATAGCAAAGTTAGTGGACACCCAAAAATGAAAGTTGACAAAGTTTTAAGGAACAAAGAGGGTAGATAATTATTGTCAAGTTGATAAATATTACTAGCTCCGTCCCGATGGACTTTGCCAAGCGCAAAATAGGTGGAAAATAAGAAAAGTAAAAATTGTGTGGTTGAAAGTTGTGCAGAGGAGAGAGAAATGTGCAGAATCACAAATTAGTTGTTTTAATGGGAAAGTGAAAATGTTTTTTAGGACAATCAAAAAGGGAAAGTTGACAAAGTTCAATGGGATGGAGGAAATATCATTTTAAAGATTCAGTCATGTTAAAACATGACAATAATTACTATTTTTTGGGAAAATATATGACAATCATATTGTGGAATTAGCTACAATTTGAACTGTATTCCTATTTAGCGCAATTCTTATATAAGTTTTGTCTTTTTGTTTGTCAAATGTCAAATGAAGAAACACCCTGAGACACCAAAAGTATATACTGAAGGAGAATTTAAATACTCCCTCCGTCCCTAAATGTTCTTTCAATTGCGGGTTACGAAGTTTGACCAACAATAAAATCAAATGATCTCTGTGAAAATTCAGATTATTTTTAGTAAATAAAATTTACATATTCAAAAACTACATTAAAACCGCTACAAAATCTGCAAAAAATAATTAAATTTTCATAAAATCTTGATATATAAAGTAAGAGTTTAAGAGTGATTTAAGTTGACAATGGTCATTGAGCTCTATGAATCAATGGTCAGTTTTCTTAGTTACAATCACATTCTAATTTATAGTGTGAAAGTATGCACTTGTTGCCAATACTTTTAATTGAGCATGGTTATCCCGACTTCGAGTAAAATTCGTGCATAAAATTCAACATATAAAAACATCGAACAAGTTGTATGCATACTATACATACACCACGACATAGAGGCCTATATCTTTGCAATTTGTCGAGAGGTATGGATCCTTTTTGACATTTTTCGGTGTTATTCTTTATATGAACATGTTTTCTAGTGACCTAATTTGACAAACCTGAATTATTTGTGTGATGGGGTTACCAAAAGTAGACACCGTATAATGACAGAGCAAAAGAGAAAAAGAAAAGTATGCATAAGTTCTAATGATCAAATCAGGAGAAAGAACACCGGCAAATCAATCTTAAAAATCAATCTTAGGGAGTGTTTGCAACCGTTTAAAAAAACAGCTTTTGTCTTAAAAAACCACTTATTTATCAAACAATACCAATTTTTACTTTTTCTCGGCTTGTGTGTGAGAAGTGTTTTTCCCTTTTCTATTACACAAAAACACTTATTTTACCAAACACTACCAACTTTACTTTTCAAAATCACTTTTTTCTCAAACACTATCAACTTTTACTACTAATAACTTTTTCCTTACATCTCCAAAAGTGCTTTTTTAAGCTAAAGCAGTTGCAAACACTCCCTTAATGATGTCAGATTTAAAAAGATACACGCAGTAGAAAGAAATGCGTTGAATTAAAGAAAAAGTTACATCTCAATTGGATTAGGAGACCGTTTGGTAATACGAAAATTGATTGATTCTGCTGAAATTTACGAAGTTCCAGCTGAAGTGCCTGCATTGGTTGATTATGTTGATTAACTGATTTGATAAAAAAAATATTTTTAAAATATATCTACTATAATATAAAAGCAAAATCTATGAAAACACTATTTTTTCAACAGTGTTCCCGCCCAAAATCCTAAAGTGAGAGTCCATAACCTGAAATTACATAAATAGCCCATTGAAGGAGCCATGTGAAGGGTAAAATTGCAAAACAAGAAATAATGATGACATTTGAAAAGGTTTGTGAAAAGTATCTAAAAAAAAGTTCATTGGTGCACGTGCACAGTAAAAACATTAAAGAAAGTTCAAAAGTAAATAGTATTTACGGCCCCAATCAAATCTGACCAGGCTATATTTACAGGCATGCACACATAATAAGCCCGTTTGGTAGCACGAAAATCGGTTGTTTTGGCTGTTTTTGCTGAAATTTATGAAGTTCTGGCTGAAGTGGCTGTTTTGGCTGATTCTGCTGATTCTAGAAAAAAATATTTTAAAAATATATTTTATTAATAAAATAAAGAAAAAATTACATGTAAAAATAGCTAAAATGGTCATATACAGTAACTTCAGCCAATACAGCCAGAAAAGTAACTCCAACCTTACTTTTTCTGCTTATTACACAATTCAGCACGCGAAAGTAAAAATTACGTGTTTGGTGAAAAAGCTGGCTGATAAGCCTGATAAGCCGAAAAAAGGGGTCTCCAAACGGGCTCAATATCTATAAAATATCCGGAGTAATAAAATTTGTAATAAAAAAACAGTCTATCACTTCTGGCCAGCCTGTTCCTTGGGGCATGTGTAGTATCAGCCAATCAAAAGTTGCTAGCCTATTCTTGGGGTGTTTATTTTCTTGAAAGAAGGGTCATTGACTTGCCTATAAATACTATGCTTTCACAGCGCACACATCCCACACAATTGTCAACTTCATCTCATTCCCTCTTGATTCTCTGCCTACAATGTGAAAGATTATCATCTTAAACGTGCCCGTATATATTCATATTACATACAAGTAGTTCCTCTCTTCGTGAGAAATGAAAAATAGGATATTTGAGCAGATAAAAGGAGAAATCAAATGGGATTACAACTCGATGGAGTTTAAGTATCTTGGCACATATTCTTTAAGTAGAAAGAACTACAAAGAGGCGGCCACAAATTGCAGGAATGATGCAGCAAATGCAAAATAGGAAGTTAGAGTTTTGAAATTGGAGAAGCAATCAAGATGTGGATATGTTAGAGTCAATAGAAGTTCAAAAGTTGTAATGAGCAACTCTTTTATATTGGTATTGTAAAAACAACTCTTTTATTTTGGTCCTGAGTCCTTACTGCAAAGAACTAAAAGAAGTACAGAACAGATTGAGTGCTATGAAAGTATGGAACAAGTATCATTCACATCCAATTTTCTCAATATCAACAGGCATACTTTGAGATGTAGTTGCTCAGTCATCTCAATTGCAACCGACCTAAATTGCGTACACACACACACACACACCTGAAAAGACAGCATCAAATGCCTAATTTCCAAGAGGTGCCAAACAACATCCGTTTCCAAATCTCGAACAATAGATGATGAATAAATATTTAAAAAACTATAAATATATAAATAATATACACTAGTAAAAGTTGCATGCATACAAGTCATAATCATACTAGTATATTATAATACAGTATAAAGATCATCATAAATACTATCACCTCTCCCTGCTGCAATGTACTTCACTTCAGAGCTCTGTTGGAAAGGACCCCCAGTGGTGCCTGAGAGCTCTATTGCTTTTTAAGAACCACAAAGGTGATACCTTTTTAAAAGGGGCTGATCCATCGAGCCAACTTTAACAAAATCTCAGGAACAAGTCGTGTTCTTGGCGGTGCGCTAGCATCCCGATCTAAAGCTTCTTTGTCACCAGCGTGTATTAGGGCAACCACGTAGTCAAAAAGATCATCTTTGCCACCTCTTAGTGGATCCTGTGTAATGAGACAAATTTCAGGCAGTAAGATTATTAGATGTTTTAAACAAGTACTTCAAAAGTATATATAGAACATGAGGTCATCCTTGCTGGAAGCAGGTATGAACATAACTAGAGGTTTTGGTATTCTTCAACAAAAATTGGGGGAAAAAAGGAAAAATGGTTTTCATTTTCATGTTTACTCTTATTTGAATTTTCCTTCTCTGACTTCCAAAACAGGAGTAATAATTCATTAACAACTATTTTGGTGAACCAAAAAAGTTCATTACAGCAAGAATTGTATGAAGAATTAAATATTTAAACTACCTTTAAAATTATTTCGAAATCCTCATGCAAATACATACGAGCTTATCTTTGTGGTAGAGAAGGGGGGTCATAATGTCATATTTAATTTACTATTAGTAACTAAAAACCACCATTATCAAAACCATGTGAAAATTTTGGTCTAGAAAACAAGCAGATAAAAAACTGGTTTGGCTACATTGATAGTTGAAAGGGACAGACGAAATGGAAGTTGCAATACTAAAATAGAAAAAAATGCTCTTCGCTTTTAAAAGAATGGTGGAAAATAGCTTAGACTGTGGGGAAGACTAATATGATGAAGAGGTACTTTGAAAAGCCTGTTTTAATTTCTTTTCTCCTCCAACTATAGTTTTCAAATTGAAAATGAGAGTGGAAAAATGGAGAGTATTTGTCCATACTAAGCATGCAGTTAGTTTCCAAGCCCATAGATGCATCTCTTAAATGGGATGATTTAAATTACTGGCAAGATGCATCTCCTATTAACTCAATAGTATCTCCCTCAGTCCCACTTTGTAAGCTAAAAATATCACTTTTCCTGATTTTATTTCTATCTTTTCACCTTTGGCTTTTTGACCTCGTACTACTTTTCTTCTTTTGGGGGGGATGCAATCGTAAATAACAACTATCCTCTTTGTTTTCCAAAAATCCACTACAAATCCAAATGCATCTTACATTATGACAGAGAGAGTATAATTTTTTGTATCAATCAGGATAGATTTCAGAAATGGAGGGTCTTGAATCTACATAATCAATTTAGAATATAGACATACTTGAAGAAACAAATCTGTATGGGTTTTCCCCTCATACAATATCAGTTCTGCTCGAGCCCCTACTCGCAAAAGGGTATTCAAAAATCTTTTACTGCACAGAGGGAAAACAAGACATTATTTTGATTTACAAAGTAACAACATTCATAAAAAACAGTACTTAGAAATCAAGCTTCCAACAAAACAAAAGTTGCCGACAATGCTGTTTAAATGCATACATAATCAACTGATTAAATTTGTTCACAGGTAAGTGACCATTTTGCGATCCAACAAAGTAAAACATAGTAAAAATGACAAAGTTGCCCCTCACATTTTTTTATTTGTTACTTTTAATACCTACACATCAATAGGGGATTGTCAATTTATGAGAAAACTAATTACTGTCTCAAAAACCACAATGTTTCATTAATGGACAGTAATTTGAGAATAGAGGGAGGAGTATGTTGTAAGAAAAAGGACGATGGTACTGCTCTTAAGTTAGATGTATACAGACCTTTCTTGACAAGGTATGGACTTATCTTCAGTACCATGGAAAAGGATAATGTGAGGCAGCAATGACACTGCAGCCTTATAGCTTGGATCCTGCACCAAAGCTTCTGGGGAGAAGCTTTGCAATGACTCTTCACCTTCCATTATACTGTAATAGTATTAACCATGTCAAATTCTTCAGTTGTAGCACAATGCAAAAAAAAAAAAAACTGAGATTCCAAAGTATAAACTAAGGGAACATTTTGTAAGGGTTATTTGGCTGAAGGGAAAAGCATACAGTTAATCGATTGCAACCAAAAAAGCAAATCAAATACTACTTATGCTTATTCTGTTTACTTTGAATAAACTGCTTCTGACAATATCACAATAAAGTTAAGCCGCTTTCAAATTCAACATTTGGCTGTAGAATAATAATTACTGACCTCAAAAATATAGAACGGTATAACCCTCTACCATGGAAGTGATCAACTAAGTTCGGTAAACTATACCTGTCCACATAAAAACAGTGTCTCATTAGGTTAGTCGCTATAAAATCATTCTTTTTAATTTGACAGAATTGAAGGTATATATCTAGTCTAATATATTTTCGCCCCAAATGGGAGTGCAAGCAAGGCATATGCAGATATACTAGAAGATTAATGGACATGAAACTTGCCCCCCAGATGAGCCAAAATAAGCCTTAATGAGCAAAACGCTCCAAGAAACCATTTCCCCTCTTGCTTCTTTAATTGCCTGCTTCACAAGAACACATGAAGAAATATGTGCACCAGCAGATTGACCCATGAGATAAATTCTGCACAAAGAAGTGGGTTATGACCTGTTCAAACTTTTACACCATTTGAATCTTTTGAAAAACATCACCACAATTTTAATGATCAATTGATGCTTCTTCACCACATGGATATGTGTACCGTTCCCCAAGATTTTGCATCGTGAGATTAAAACTACCTGTTTGGATCACCTCCATATTCAGCAATATTGTTGCATATGAATGAGATCCCCTCAGAAACATCTTCCACCATATCACCTATCGTTCCCTGTGGAAAATTTCTAAATCCAATACACGCATCAGTCAGGAGCAGATTCAGTGGGGGGCAATCTGAGACCCGGTCCATCCCAAGTTTGATCAAATAAAAATGCAGTTCAAATCTTTTGCTACAAAAAATCATATGAATGCGTTTATATTTGGCATTTTGGCCCAACTCAAGTCTGAATATTGGGGAGTCCTGGCTCCATCCTTGCACCAGATCAGCAAGGATGTAATTAGGGTATAGAGAGAGAAAAGTGTCTTTTCATAATTTCTTTTAACCCAACAACAGATATGAGGAATAAGCTAAACCGAAGTGGTAACAAACGAAAATTCATCTTTGATGTATGAAATGAGAAAATGCATTACAGGAAAGGAATTATGAAATAATCTGAGCATTTGCATCTGAGTAAATATATACATAAATATGGACGGCAGTTTCCTGAATTGCGCATAACGTTACCTGTAATCAAGACACGCTACTATGATTTCACGTTCAGATAACTGTTTCCCCAAGAGAGAACCCCATGCTTTGTACCTACACAATAATCAAAGATCGGATTGATCTTTACATATTCGATATTTTTATACATAAAAGCCTCTCTTTACCTCATACACGAACTGCTAAAGTGGATTTGCAAAAATATCATTTTACTTTACATTACATCTAAGTTGTATATGTTTCTCAGATAAAAATGACCTAATGAATTGGATTTAAACATTCTTACCCAATAATCCATGCCCCACCAGTGACAAATACTGCAACCGGCTTTGAACCATTTCTATCAGTTGGTAAATATAAGTCCAATCTGCGCCCCGAGATTTAGTAAAGATCGGTGCAAGAATGTGGATATAATACAAAAAAGGTTTTCAACCTCTTACCTATTTCTTGGTTGACTCCCATAAACAACACTTCTTCGTACATTGGGTGAGAAGAAGTAATAAAACGCAACTGCCAAAAACTAAAACATTAACTAATGGATATAACATCTTGTATATTTATGACGTGAAAGTGAAGAATAATTGATAATAAACATAGTACGGAGTAATAAAAAAATAACAGTATACATACTTTGGAGAAATCCAGGCATAAGCAGCATAGCGTATATACCAAGAGCAAGAAGTCGTGTAATCCAACGATAACCTACCCTGAGAAAGGGAAGTGATTAAATTTATCATGAAACTGAAGTAGCTCACCAGGTGCCAAGGGATAACCATTTTAGATTACCCTACTACTTTTTACATTTATTGGCTAATGCTAGTAATTTAGCTTGCACAGTAGAGACTAGAGAGCCATACTACTATCCTCGTAAACATTGAAATGAAGCAACATGGACCTCCCCTACTTCAAATTTTCATACGTAGTGATAGTATATCCTTAATGAATTTCAATTTGATAGAAAAAACATAAGCTTTCGGAATTATTCAATGTAATTCATTTCAAATCTAGCCAGCTATGACTTTTTCCAATAGCCAGATTCTGAATAGCTAATTAGCTATGTAATCATTGAAAAATATTTAAAGCATTAAAGTAAATGACATTGAAGAGTAGTAATTCATGTGTGTCATTGTCATCCATAAAAAAAAAGATAGTGATCGAGGGCACTGCACCAAACAATACTGTTTTTATTAACACAGAAATAAAATTCTTCAAGACCATCCACACTGATTATGGAGTAAACATAAATATTCAAACAAATTGAACTTCAAGCACAACAAAATAAAATTTACCCGAGATAGCTAAGAAGCTTGAAGGAAAGACGAGTGATCAAATAGGTCTCGGCGGCTGCATGGCCAAAGTCGCGGCTAAAGGAAGATTGGCGGGCGGGGCGACATGGGGCAGACACCGTCTTGGCAAGAGGTTTTCGCCTCCTCTGTTTGTTAGCTGAAAGGCCGGCGGGAAGGCTCGAAACCCTCGACATCAATGGCTCACGCGTATCCTCTTTCAGGTCATTGGCAAAAGACTCCAAACTCGCCGGGTCTAGGCGTGGAGCCTTTTCCATCTCCGGCAAATTGAATGCCGAAATTCAGATGTCAAATAACCCTCGAAGAATCAGATTCCGGCGACTGATATGGATGGGCAGACAGGTCGGTTGAGGATTGAGATGCTGCTCTACGACGGAAGGATCAGTGGATGTCAGTTTGGGTACAGAGGTTCTCTGTTTTCAACATTCTGCACCCAGAACGCTGATGTAACACTGGGATGCGTGCTTCAGGCATGTCAAATTGTCAATGGGTTGGGTAGACCCGGACCGGACTCAGACCCAGTTGTTTTTAACGGGTATGGATCTTTATTTTATTCCGTTTATCTGGATTCGAACCAAGACCCGTTAGTACTTTTAATAAACGGGTCGGGTATGATACATATGATCCCGACCCGTTGACCCGGATCCGTTTAAAATTTCTTATTAGTATACACACACTAATGCATAAAGAGATTAGTTATAATAATTCAAATAAAAATACAAACTAATATATATAAAGTGATTAGTTTTAATTCTTTGATTAAAAAGAAACAAATTAATACATACCTAATGTATAAGTGATAATATAATAGTATATAACTATATAATATACTTTTTAGTCCAAAAGAACTTTTTATGACCTAATTTCTAGTCTAATATACGAGTTTTTTGTGGGAGAGAAAGAGACACATGCAAAGTGCGGAATTGTACGCATCTACAAGAACCGATATTTTATTAGATAAAAGTACTAATTTTCTATGATAAATCTTGAATTTAATTACCATTAAATTAAAAAAAAAATTCTATGATAAATCATGATTTTTTTTTAAAGTGAAGATATATTTTTCTTTTAAATTTGTGCACTTTCATTTACATTTCATATGCATGTTTTGCTATTTTTAAAAAATTATATAATGTTTTGTAAAAAAAAATTATATAATGTTGTGCATATGATACTTGGCGGATCTACCCGACCCGGTTTCAAGACCCGTTGGGTCAGGGTCCGAATTTTTAGACCCACCGGGTAAACGGGTCGGGTCCGGGTCCTTTATTTACTTAGCGGGTCTAGGTTTGGAACACTACGTTCTGACCTGGACCCGACCCTTTGACAGGTCTAGTGCTTCGGCTTTCAAAAATAAAAAGAGAAATTCCCTCATATAGGAGTAAACTTTGGGAGAAATTCTTAAATAGGAGTATGCATGTTTTCTTCTCAAAATAGGAGCATATTACTCCTATTCAAAACATATGTGCTTTTCAATTCCATTATTACCCTTACTTTCCGCTCACCGTCTTTAGCTCCCTCCTTTTTGGGCACCATCGATCTTCTCTCCTTCTCCATCGATCAGTTTTTTCCTCCCAGCAAAGATTCATTGGCTTCTTCTCTGCAAATCAGACCAGTCGACTTCTTCTGTTGCTGCTAACTCCACTGGACGCTGCCTACAAATCAGGTTTCTTCTCCTTCTCTTCATCTTCCTCCTCCTCCTATTGTTCTATTTTTCAGAATTTTTTCTATTTCTATTTTTTTTAGTTTTGGCATTCAATTCATTGATTTTTGGACTTCTATTTTGTATTTCCACTTTAAAATTTCTCAATTTTTTCTGATTTTCTCAATGTTTAGATGATGGCATAAATTTTTGCCAAGTTTATGGCAGAAATTTATGGCATTTTTGTGAATTTTTAGTTGTCGAGTTCATATTTTACCAAGATTATGGCATTTTTGTGAAACTCTGCCACAAAAAATCTGCCAATATTTTGACGGATTTAAAAATTCATTTTTATGGCAGATTTGTAATTAATCTTCAAGGGTAGCGATGGTGGCAGTTTTAGTCGGCGGAGTAGGTTGGGCTGCGGTGACGGAGTTGGAAGTTGGCGGCGGCGGCCGATAGCTATGGATGTTGGACGGAGATGGATGGCAGCATCGGTATGGGAGGCGGAGGTGAGCAACACCGGTTTGGGAGGCTGAGGCAGACAACACCAGCGACGTCAGTGCGACACCACTGAGGGTCGCTAAAGTTCTGCGCCAACGTTTTTTCTGACTCTTCAACGAGCCTTCAATTTCAACTAGCTTACGCAATTTACAAGAAGGTTATTTTTGTGAACTTGGTCTTAAAAGGCTCCTATCAAACATAAGCTACGCATACTCCTATTTTGGCAAAGTATACACTTTTTACTCCTATATTGGTAATTAACGAGGAAATTACCAATTTACGGGAGTTTTGGGACTGACAAGCCAAAATACGGGACTTCAGTTTAGGTTACCAAAATAAAAAAACCTAGTCGGAATTGTGTAATCCGACTAGGGGGTGTTCGAAATTTTTTATTGTTTCCATTATTTTATTTGTGTAATCCGAAGGAATTAAAAAAAATAAAAAAAAAATAAATAAAAAAAACCTAGCCGGAATTGTGTAATCCGACTAGGGGGTGTTCAAATTTTTTTTATTGTTTGCTTTGATATTATGCTGGAAGGTACTCAAATTCATCCGCAATATATTGGATCTTTGATTCCAAGAAATACTTCACACAAACCAATATTACACGGAAAATTACTAGTTCATGGGTTTTGATAGAACTCATGTGTGTGTTGAAGACGCTAGCTCAAGTAGAAAACAAGGCACTTGAGTGAAATTTTATTTTGTTTTATTTTAAGAAATTTTATGAAATTTTAAGAAATTTTATAAATTACGCTATATTTTTTTTTATTTTAAGAAATTTTATAAATTAAATTTTATAAATTAAATTGTTATTTAGAAGTATTTATTTTACCAATTTTTAACTCATTCAATTAGATAAGTTCACATTTTATAATATGACGCGTTTAAGTAATTTTTAACTCATTCAATTAGATAAGCTCACATTTTATATATTTATTTTTTGTAGTATATAATATTATTGAAATTTATGAATGTATCTATTTTGTATAGTCATAAACTCGGGTGAAGAGTCAGACGACCCAGACTGAATGCCTCGATGACATGGTGCTTTGGTCGGCTGAAGCCCAACCTTTTCTTTTTACATCCCTAACTCTAGTCGGAAGAGCCAATTCCGACTCCCGCTTTTTTGGAAACCCTAATATTTCCCCCGTAAATGGGCAAGGGATGTTGAGGATTTCCGTACTTGGGTAAATCACCCGGTAAAACACCCGCAAAACTGACTTATCCCAAATTCATTAAAAGACTTTTTATTATATGAGCACATCATGGAGAACTTCTGGAAATAAAAGTAAATAATCAACGAAAAATTTAAAAATATTGTTCCCATCTTGAAATTATCATATTTTGGCATTACTGCAAAATACTATGAAAATAATCTCGAACATAACCATAATTTCTCACCTTTCGAAGAGGGAATATAATACGGAGTACTTCAATTATAAAATTTCAAATTATATTTAATCTTATTTAAAACGTCTTATGATATACTCACTCCATCACACAAAATAGTTCCCAGTTTGTTTTGTATTAGAATATGGTTGTGGTTGAGTAAGAAAAAAGTAAATTACACTATAAAAAAGTTATGAGATTGGCACGAATTAAGCACGGATTTGGCATATCCCTGTCAATTATGGGGAATTCCTGCCAAAAGTATCTTTCAATTCCATGTTTTTTTGTAAAGAAATAAATGTTAGCCACACAAAACTTTTCAAAAAAAGAAATGAGAACAATTTTTCAAAGAAAAGTGAGAACTATTTTGCGGGACTGATGCCTGAGGGAGTAAGTGGTTTTCAAAAAAAATGGAAAAATGTCAAATAGGCCCTCGAACTTACATAAAAATAAAATTATTACTCTAAAATATACAAATTATAACAAAATATAAAATGTATGTTAAGTTAAAATGACAATAAGCACACATATGATGCTTATTTTAGATGAATTATAACGATTTTATAATTCTTAAGATACTGATGTAATTCTTTCTCTTCCATTTTGCAAAAATTAAACGGTCACGTAGAATCAACTTCATATATATATGATCGATTGTCATCAAACGGTCTTGCAACATCAAACATGTAATTATTTTGTTTATTTTCCAATATTGATGAAGACACAACAGGGTTTTAGAACGCTGCCAGCAGGGACATGCCAGGGTCGAGCGTGCAACGTTAGATGTAGTATTCAATTTATTATTGTATGTAGGTACTATCTATTTATTAATAAATTACATTGAAAATTGTTTTGTTCACTTCCATTAAAATTACAAAAATTGCAATTAAAACAAAATCAAATTTGTATTTTATTTTATTAATTTAATTCACAATATGCATGGGTTAAAAAATAAAATAAATGAATAAATGTTTGTTAACTCAAAAAATCAAAATGCATAATTTTCATTTTAAAAAAACGACACGATTTTTTTTTAAAAAAAACTTTTACATTCGTAATTAACAATTCCGATAGGAATTTAAAACTTTATTTGAAAAAACTTTATTTTAAAAAAACTTTATTGAGAAGTAATAATTGCACCTGGAATTTTAAAATAAAAAAATTAAAGTTACCCCTTGTCGGAAGTGGCATATCCAACTGGAGAGGGAACAATTTTTTCAAAACTCCTACCTCTGGTCGGAAGACCGAATTCCGACTCCCGCTTTTAAAGAAAACCCTAACTTTTCCCGTATTTTGGCAACACATGCGGAGGTTAAGGTCATTAAAAAATGAGGGATATAGACCAAATTGGACGTTAAGGTCATTATCAAATCTCAATTTTGACACTAAGCTTATTTTTTTAACCAAAAAGGACATTACAAATAACTCTTTGGATCATTCAAGACACTAACCAACTAATCACATCTTAATATGGATCAAATCTATATCTATATCTATATCTATATAAATATAAAAGCAAAAGAAATCTTCCACAGGAAGATAGCGCCAAAACTTCTGGCCGAGAGATTCTACACTGCATTTAATGAATGCAATTTTCTAACTTAACAAATAATCAATGCAACCTTGCTTTTTTAAAAATCAATTAGTTACTCCCTGAGTTTGGATCATTCTCATTCTTTGCTTCCTCACGTTAATATTTGTTAAATTTAAATTTAATATAATTCTTAAATTCAATGAAAAATGTGTATAAAATTAATTTCTTAATTTAAAACACAAATTATTATCATTATTATTAGTCATTGTTGTTAATCGTTATTTTTCTACTTAGCTACTCCATCGTGGAATAAATATTATTGAGAGTAATTAAGAGAAAATACTCATGAGTAAGATATAAAATATCATGAATTTTTAATATATTTATTTCAAAAAATTAATCATCATTT